AATGTATTAAAATTATCAGATCATACTATTAATATGAGTTATTAATACATAAAGATTACTTTGATGAATTTTTTTAAAATTGAGTGGGGGTGCCATGTGGAACTCTTACCGGCTTCTCAATAAGTTATAGTGGTAGAGTGTCCAAGCTATATGTACACTACATATTCTTCAAATCTTATATAAATATAGGCTCACTGTAGTGAGTAAAAAACAACTGAGAACACCATAGTGAGCATCACTATATTATTACTAGGACCTCTGATTTTCAGTTTTAACCAATAAAACACACTAATATAAAAAAATAAGTATATATCTAACACGGAAATGGTTGCTAAGTCACATTAACTTCACCCTTTTCCCACTGCAGATATTTATACAATAGCCTTTCTTCTCAAATTATCTAGCATTTATTCATACTAAATACTTTAAAACATTTTACCTACTGAGGGGTATCAAACATAGTAATGCAATAATATATATATATAAAATAATTTGGGTAAGAAGCTGAAAAATATAATCTTGCACAATATTTAAAGAATGAAATCCCAAAAAACATTTCAAACTTTTTATATAAAATTCAGAAAGGAAATTAATAAACACCATCAAACAGAAGCCTTTATGACTATTACCAACGGCTATCATTAAAAAAATCTAAATCACTAAGCATGAAAGTTCTTGGTATTTAGGGATGGGCCAGAGAAAAAAAACTGCCATCGCATATTATGTATTGCTCATCATAGTCTCAAATCTCTCTTACAACAATGTAAGAGACTTTTATAAATACCTAACTTAAGTTATTAGAAGCTATTAAAACTTTCAGTTTAGCCAAAAAGCATCACTTAAGCAGAGATCTGGTGAGTGGCATAACAGCCAAATGTTCTGCTGATTATTCTGATGCTAGCATCAGAACTAACTCACTAATGCTTGAAGTTGTTACAATGAATTACATACTAAATTGGTGCATATTAACTTGGGGAGTGCAGAAGCAGAATAGCATTTCACTAACTTCAACACATGATGTCATCAAGATAAATCATCATCATCATGCCAGGCTAAAATAGCTGCCTTCATAGCAATGGCCATTACTTTAAAAAAAAAGTAATAAATGAAATTTTGAAAAAATAAGGATGGCAATGCCAAAAAGTACAGAAATAAGGTAGAAATGAATACATGAAACCATACAAAAATCCCTACATAAGTAGCCAATGTTACAATCTTCTAGGAATTAACCATTGTAAGACTTTTTAGCATTATTCAGTTTAACTGCCTTTATTCAAACCTGAATTCATACAAGTAAAAAGAATTCAACATTTAGTTGTAGATAAGTTCTTCTTGGAAATATTTAGCTACTTATTTAGTGATTTTTATATTGTTTTGTGTATCCATCCCTACCTTATTTCTGTACTTTAAAGTTTATGGCATTGCCATCCCTGCATCATCCTTTTTTTTTTTCAAACTGTTATTACTTGTAATTATTTTCTTATGCATGGTAAACCTTAGATGATAATAGATCAATACTAAATACATATAGTGAAATTGAAACTGAGATAACATTAATAATGTTAGAAAGAGAGATGCATAATTATATTTGGAGTCACCAGCACTCTGTGTTGGATAAGGATGAGTTATAATGTCCTAAACTTACAACTTTTAATTTATATATATTAACAGTGTTGTGTTGGATAAAGCATTACTACACATTAGATCTATTGGAATAACCAATTAAGAGCTACATGTTTGGTGTTTTAAGTTATCTTTTTACTACATTGAACCTATTAAAAAGGTCTAGATTATACTTACAAGTTACAGAAAGCTGATAAACTATAAGTATAATACTTAATATTACTAAATATTAGTAATACTAGCATAGAATAACACTATTAGCATCATCATTTTCGACAAGTTTGAAAATAATACGTTAAAACAATAACAAAATACCATCCGGCGCACTAACATCAATTTAAGGGAATATTTACTGTTGCGATAACATTTGAAATAATATAAATTATTTACCCGATGATACCGATTAACAATACACAATTTCACTCCTATTTGAAACAGCTCACACTATCCCTAAGACTCGACAAGACTTTTGCAACCTAGATGACAGCGCTCCCTGCTAAAAGACGTATTTTTATTTTTATTACATAGTTCGTGTATAGTTATTGAAAGGACAAATGTATACGTAATTTCCTTAAAAAAAGTAAAATAATGAGGACAAATAACTTGATTACATTAACATTAATAAAAATATGAAAAAAATTAATTCCAAAGACAACGTATGGGTGTCGAGATTATCGGCCATTTTACAGATGAAATCTTGTGACCAGACGGAAAGATATACGAAAAATGGTATGTTTTAATATAGCATGAAAAACGTTTACATTTAACATATTTAAGAGTTTTATTATTAATTTTTTATACTGATTTAATAGTATATTACATGGCGATAGATGTTGATTAGTGTCATAAAAAATAATAATAGTTCATGCCTTAGCCTATCAAATGATATTATCAGTATCACTCCGTAACTTACCATTTAGACAAGCTTGGGGTTAAAGCTATGCCTATGCCCTACCGATATTTTTTGTACGCCCACTAAGCCTAAGCCTAATATCAGTAATATTAGATGATGTCTAGACTATCCAAATTAACTAATTCTGTTTTTAGCAGAATTGAAATTTAATTTATTAGTTGCTAATCCTAAAAGAAAACAAAAAGTCTTGGTACACGAATAGCTTATTCAGTTATTGCTAGTAGAAATAACTATTATACTGTCGTTAACTTAAGTTAGTTAAACATTTTAATTATTATGCCTTCAACCTCAAGGTTACTTCATATCATTTTCACCAAATAATCCAGTATGTACCAAATAAAGCAAGGCAAAACTAGTTCTTGTTAGCAATTTCACATAGTACATCACAAAAGACTTAGTTTAAGTTTAACAAAAACGTTATTAATATAAACCAAAGTACTTTCAATTATAAAATTGAAATATGCATTTTCTCTAGAAATGAATTAGATAGTTAAGACTGATTCAACTTAACATTGCCTCATTCCTACACTTCACTGTAGTTAACCTTTTCTACATTTGCTTGGTTATTTTGACTAACATTTCAACCACTATATAACCATGAATATCTACATACAATAACTTAATATAGTAAATGTATCTTAACAACATTTGGCAAGCTTTAGTAAACATGAAAGTTTTTGTACACAAATATCATATTTTTATTTAATTATTTTTACTAAAGAGCTGTCTATGAATTTATAGGCTCAAATTCTTGACAAATCTGAATGTTAATATTAAAAATACTTTTTTTCCTTTAACTGTTTTAAAATTTTGCTTAAATAACCTCTAGAAGCTTGTAAATGAATATTAAAAAATTTTTTCGGTAGAATTTGATATATTCTGTTATTTTCTCTATCTTAATACTATATGAAGTCAATCCATTTGACCAATCAGATAACTACCACAAAAAATATGAAATAAAACTAAATTACCCTTTTTCTTTCTAGAATGATTGTAGATTATAACAGAAAATTAGTTATTTACCTATACAACCTCAAACTCATAATAGTTTGCATCTGTTTTTATTTAATTTTATTGTTTCATTACATTTTGAACCATGTCTAACTACTAAACCCGCATTACAAACTAGAAATTACCTGGCAAATGCATAGCTCAGGTTACAACATTGAATTCATGTGTTCTTTAATTCAATGTTGTAACCTGAGCTATCATGTGTTCTGTAGCTCCTCACATGCATACCTCACAGAAAAAATATCTTTTTATTTGATGTTTTTATTTATATTTTCATTTATATTTTTTTACCTGATAAATTTCTACTTTTTACATTTTAGTTACTTTTATAACAATGAATAAAAAATACAAAAACAAGAAATTTAGTACTTATGTGTTTGTCTTGTACTTTTTTTATAGTAAAAGGCTTGGTGTCAATAAATGTTAACCCAAATATTTGACTTAGAACACAAAGTGATAACATGCATAAAGCATACAGTGTTTAAAACTATTACAAGTTAACTGTCTTTCTTACTAAGCTGTGAATGTGCTAAAATAATTCCCTTGCTGATCGAACTGAACTTGGTGATACAACTTTGAATCTTTACCTTGAATAATTCAAAAGTTATTGTGAGAACAAACTAGCGTTACTTGTAAATCAATAAATTAAAATCTTCTCTTTCTACTGGTTATAGATAATGTATTTATTATTGAAATTTTTTGAAAGACAATATGTGATAAGAAGGTTTAGCATGTGGGTGTGACTTGTGTTTATATTTCTCTACATCAAAGTGATTGGAGGCTATATCTATACTATTACTTTGTAATTTTTATTAACACTCAAAAGCTGAAATAGGGGTGGAATGAATGTTTAAGGGGTCTATTTGGAACAAAAGTATCATGTGATACATAGAAGTGAAGATTGAGAATGTATTTAAATATTTCATCTTTAAATTAAAAGTTAGATTAAAATTTGATTTATTAACTACATTTTGATGCCCAGTTTATTAACCTATATTGATAATATAGTAATTTAATTAAATTTTGAATACAACTAAAAAGTTGTGATGTTCAAGTTTTACCTGCCTGTATCCAGAGGATTGGTGGATAAGGTTTAGAGGAGGGATATTATTAGTACTAGGGTGATCTTGAGAATGGATTAATAGTCTTATGGAGATAGCTTGAGATCTTTCAATATGTCTATTAAAAAAGAGGAGGTCAGGGATATTTTAATTCAAGTATTCAAAATTATTGAAGGAATTGATAAGATTGAGGCAACAAAGTTTTTCATGTAGAATTCTGAAAGCAGTAGGATAAGATGACATACATTTTGATTTTGAAAAGTCAAACATCTTCAATTGAGGCAGTTTTATTTTTCCAGAAGGGTTGTAAATCTTCTGAATAAACTTCCATCAGAAGTGATAGAAGCAGCAACTTTAGAGGAGCTTATTAACAGGGGTGATAAATATTTGGGGTATCTGAGCTGTATTTTATGAGTATTTAATTTCCTGTTTGTTGATGGAGGTCGAGAGTAGGAGATCCTTGGTGGGCCAAGGGTCCCCTTGATGTCTCATAATTTATAAAAAAAAAAAATTATGAAAATTTCTGAGTGTCTCATCAATGTTGTAAAGACACAGGAGGCAGCTCAGAAAAGTGATTGGAAATTTTAAGAATGCTTCCAGTTCCTCTGATGTTTGCTTGTGTAATGGATAAATCCCAAGATAATGAATGATTCATGAAAGGAGCATCTCAACCCATTTCCCATAATGCCTCAACATATTTTCTTCAGTCTTGAACTTGTACTTTTAATGTCTAAACATAGAAGATACAAGGCCTTTGAGTCAGTAAACCTAATAATATGATACAAATAAAAGCAAAACACTCAGTCTGAAGGTAACCCTTTGAGTCAGTTCAACAGAAGTTTAAAAAAATGAAAAACATGTAATACTTTATTGCACCAGTCAATATGATTAATCCTCTGTAAGGCTACAACAAAACTACATTTCTGAAGATGGAAATACCAGCTTAGTTTAATTTCTCTAGTTCCAATAAAAGGCTTCATCAGCATTTTATACAAGGTTATAATATTATTTTATTACTATTTAAAATTCCCAGAAAACTTAACCAAAACTTTTTTATTCTCTTTTATCATATTTGAACAGAATGCCATTTTTATCATTGAGGCCACTTATCATTCCCAAAAACAAGCAATCAAAATATTTAATTCAGCTTGTTTGAATGCCATTTACATCATTTGTTCATAAGACTGATATACACTTTCATTATTGGAGCCAGTAGAATAATTTGTTTTTATTGTGCTGTAATATCACATTTAATACAGTGATGATTTAAATTGTATCCAGATTGCATGGTTTAATAAATTAGTGGATATTTGTTAGGGAAATTCATTAAAGAGCCCAAGAAAACATTAAAGAACATGATTATAGAGATAACTTTTTATCCCAGTCCCAGTAAGACAATTATTTTACTGTATATTATTACACAAGTATTTTTATATAAAGTGTATTTTGTTTTAAAGTACACTTGGATTGTTTTTTTACATTAATAGTGCTTTCATGACATCATATAGTAGTGAACTGACAATGACATAGTTTTTAATAGTAACCATAGCCATCCAAAATTTATGGAATAAAAGTACATATGTATAAGAGATGTTCTTACTGGTGAATCCAATACAGTTTTCTTAAGGGTTAAAAACTGATAGTACTAGAATTTGAGTAAATTTACAAAGCAGTAAAGAAATAAATAAAACTATATATATATATATGTGTGTGTGTATATAGTTTCTTCTTTTTTTATGTTTATTGCAGTAATGTATGTCAGTTATTATTTTCATTATATATCATAAGCTTTTATTTATTCTAGAGTTTCTTTGGGTTTGGCCAGACAGCAGACATTGACATAATTCTTAGTGGCTCAGACACCAGAAAATTAGCAGAAATCAAAACTGAAGATGGGAAGAAAGAAAAACATTATTTATATTATGATGGAGAGTCTGTGTCAGGAAAGGTAAAAATTATATCATAAGAATTTTAATTTTTGGTGTCTCATTACAATTTTTCTGTTAAAATATATTATATGGCCAGAAGATTTGCTTTGTGTCCATGTTTTGATTTTTATAATGCAAAGCATGCAAAATTTGCTGCTACTACATAAAAAAAATGCACCAAACTCTTATGAAATGGCCATGCATATGAATTTGTATTAAAGGAATATAACAACTAACATATGTATGGTTGTGTATAGAAAAGATATAAACCAATTTGCATACAACAACTTATGAAAATTCAAATAATGATATATAGAGTTGGGAGATTAGTGGAGTTTTATTATTCTCACAGGAAACTTTGTTGATATGTTACTAGTTTGTACATCTGTAACAGATGAGGATATGAAGCTCTGTAGTTGGAGATGGAACTGGAATCTTTTAATACACTCACCACATCTCCTGTCTGAGACTCTCCACAGATACCCTTGTCCTTCTCTCCTCCTCTTTAGCCTGCATATTGTTTTTGGCTCTGGTGTTATGTACGTGGGGATGGTATAGCTCGTGATGCCATTTTGGCTTGGGTCCATTTACCCTTGACATATCTCAGGGATTTATGTATGGCCCCATTTCTGAGACATTACGTCTTTGATACGGTCCAGGAAACAATTGAGCCTCGGGTGACATTGGTCCACCAACAATTCACCCCCCCTTTTATAAATATAGTAGCTCATTTGTTCTTCTCTTTGCTTACCTCGACAATGCACCCCTGTTGCCAACAGTACTGGTGACATTACGTCTTTGATATGGTCCAGAAAACAATCAAGTCTCAGGTGGTGACATTGATCCATCAACAATCAACCCTTACGAACATAGTAGCTCATTTGTACTTCTCTTTGCTTTCCTCGACAATGTGCCCCCATTGCCAACAGTACCGGTGACTACCCAGTGGGTTCAGGTCTGGGTAGGGACTTGGCTGTTTGAGTTTCTTTGCTATGGATGCCTTTGCTATGGGCCTCAAAACCATGTTATCTCTCTTTGGGTTGCTTGTACCTCATCCACATACTCTGGCAGTTGATACCTTCAGCCAGGATTGGTCACACAAGTATCTTTATGTGTACCCACCCATTCAATTACTTCATTGGGTGATTTCTCTTGTCCATTCCACTCCTTGTCAAGTCCTACTGATTGCTTCCTATTGGCTAGCTCAGCCATGATTTCAAAGGTTACAATGACTTCTCCTCACCCCCTGTCCCTTTTCCACTTTCTCCCTCCCTTCTTCGTCAACCTTGATCATATATCCTACATCCCAACTTTCAAGTCCTGCGTCTTCATGTTTGGCTTTTGTCTGGTCCTTGGTGATCTATTTCACACATCAAGTCGCTTCCTTATTAACTACTTCCATCTTCCATGGAGGTGTACCAATGCAAGTGGAAGGTATTCCGCAGTTGGTCTACTATCAGGGGGTTTTCTGACAAGCCTTCTGTGGCTCATGTGGTGGAATTTCTTACCTGGGTCCTAGACCGTGGGTCTTCGATCTCCTCGCTTTCCAGATATCAGGTGGCCTTCTCCCATACCTTTCATTCTTCCTGATACTGTAGGGTTTTTACCTTCCATGTTCTTACCATGCTCATGTGTTCCTTCCAAATATGTTGTCCTTCCAGGCATACTGCGCTTTGGGATTGGGACATTAATGTGATTCTACATTCCCTTACTTTACCTTTATTTGAACCACTTTTCTCGTGTTCCATATTTCATCTTTCCCTTAAAACATATTTCCTTCCTCTTAGCCTGTGGATGTCGAAGGTCAGATTCCTTTGCCATTGACATTTCACCTACACTTTATCATCCTACCTATCTTCTTTTTTATTTGGATCATTCCTTTTTTCCGAAGACTTTGGCAGCTCAGGAGGTTGGTTCCTCCTTTTCTCCTATTTCCCATCTTTACCTTTGACTGGATCTGGATAGGCTTCTGGGGTACACGTTCACAACTCTTTATCCCCTGGAAATCCTCCTCTCTTTTTTGATCTTTCATCTTCTACCCTTACCAGACGGTTCCACCTTTTGGTTCGATTGGTCTATTCTTCCTCCCGGACTTTGTTCCAGGTGTCCTTTCATCAGATCGGACACCTAACTTTTTCCCTTGCTTCTCATCTTCGTCATTCAGTGGAGGAGATTCTGCAATCTGGCATTTAAAACACTTCCAGTACGTTTATCTCCCACTATCTTCGTCATATTGCAGTTTCCTTATCGTCTAGGTTTTGTCTGCCACCTGTGACCATTCTTCAGACTTTGTTGCAACTCTAACTGGTAAGTTTTCTTCATACTTTCTTTCAAGGAGCTTTTATCTACTATTTATCACATGGATCCTGCTCCATGGTGAGTGGTGCCTGACCAGGTATTCTTTAACTCTAAATCTGCACTGTACAGCTATGTTGACTAACACTTTATCTTCCATGGCTTCACATGCTCACCGTGGAGATGGGGTGTTCCACAAGATCACTTGACGATGAATAACCTCGTGATATTTTGTTTCATAAACATGTCTGTCCTGGACTGTACCACCCATGGACTGCATGGGTAAAACAGAAGGGGGATTGCTGCCCATACCTGGAGTGAATAACTCAGTATGGTCTGCTTTTTAAAATAAGCTTTTGTGGTCACCCATTGCACTGTCTCTGGTGATGACATTCTTCCAGACTCTCCACTGCATTGTCACCCTCCTTTCTTCAAGTGGAGTATGGGAGTTCTTGCCACTGTCCAGTTCCAAGCCACTTGGGTGGTTGACCATGGAGACACCCAACTCAATGAGTTCCACACAATAACCATTCAGTTACAGAGTAGGGTGGTGGTGTTCTGCGGGTGTGGATGACGTAATATCCTCCTTTTTGTGATAACCAATACCATCGAGTGAGACATCAGAATACAGTTCACCCCTTCCATTGGGAATCCTCATCCTACTCTCTCGTGGATGTTGATACCCCACAAGGAGGTTTTGGATTAGAGGGGACCAATCAACATAAGTCTTCACACGGTTCGGGTTGTCTATCTTCCTCCCTTAATTTCTGCTGTCTGTGTTGTAAGTCACATCAGTGGTATGTGAGATTGTTATGGTTCTGTCCTTGACTTTTCCTCATTCTTTTCTTAAGGGGATGTTATTGTCATTGGATGGTCCCAGCCTGTACCGTGACTGGGGGAGTTGACTCCATGTGATAGACGTCCTTTTGATACTGGATGTCAATTTCCTAAATCAATAGCTCAGAGCTAATCCTCGTGTCATACCCAGGAATCGGTGTGGGTTATAATCCCCGGTTTTTGGGTTTGAGGTTGAAGAGGGTATGATCCTCATCCTACTCTCGTGCAGATGTCAGTACCCCGTGAAGAGGTTTTGGATGTAGCAGACTTACCAAGTATGGTCCACTGCAACCTAGCCACTCTACACCCAGGGGCATATCCTCGTTTACCCATTTTTCTCTTGTGTGATTGAGCAATGTCTTTTTCTGGTTAGGATCACTTGCCTACCACGTTCCACACACAGGTGAAGAGTATACCTGGCTCAGAAGTGGTGTGGTTTTCCTCTTCTGATCTTCGGATCTGTATCTCTCATTTTCATGGGTATTCTTTGGACGCTTTCAGGTGGTACTTCTGTCATTCCCTCACATCTGTCCCTCCTCCTCCATGTGGGAATCTAGTTAATCTTGTGAGTAGAGGTAAGTACCGTATCGGAAGTTATAATTTTCTTATAGAGAAAATGTATTTCCGATAGGTACTTAACTCCGCTCACACTTCCCACTTTTCTCCAGTGCTGCCATCTTCTGCCAAACTTCAAAAATAGTCATGTGAGCATATGATGCGCCTATTGGCTAGGAGGTGATGCATGCTGATTTGCATGAGAGACGTGTTGGAATATAGCAATTTCTAATAGGGGAAGCAGAAGGCTTGTGGTATGCATAAAGAAAAGGTTTGCATATAGAGGGCAGCACTGAACAAGAATAGCTAATTTTGTGAGCAGAAGTAAGTATCCATCGGAAATGCATTTTCAGCATAAGAAAATCATAACATCTATAATGCTTCATTGGCCGCCAGCAGAAGGCTTGAACTTCAGAAATAAGTACTAAATTTCTCATTTTTTTTTTTTCTTTGTTTATTTTTATAAAAGTAACTAACGTAAAAATTAAATATATTAGATTGGATAAGAAACCTTAACCCTATCACCCCGGGTATCCTTTACTGCACATGACACAATGTTTTAGTGTCTTCCATTAAAAATTTTGTTAAACTACTTTTTGTTTATGTTATACCAATTAGAATAGCATAAAATCTTAGCTGGTAATCTATATTTTAATAGTATAAGAGTTTTAAGTTCTTAATTCTACAAGGAAATATATAAAAAAATCCTGAATATCCACTAGTGTGATCCACGTGACACATTTTCTCTTAGCATGTCATCATCCCTATTTTATCCACCACCCCTCAAAAAAGTATGAAATTAAATGTAAATTACTCACTATAAAATTGTTATTGCTGAGACAAACCATAATTTTTATAGTCCATAACTTAAACCATAATTTTGTTTGTTTACAGAGCTATTGAATAGAAAATCAGACCCCACCTCTTACATCCTCTCATTCACAGTTTGTTGATAACTCTCTTTACATTTCATTATATATTACCTATAACCAAAGATAATCAAGGTTTCATATTTCAAACTATGTATTGTATAGCGTCTGAACAGAATATTGCCAATTTGACTCACAGTACAAGCTTCGTTCCTGTGGGAACGTTAATGACTAACTTGGATTAATTTGTAATGGCTCTTGTTGCGTAGTTAGATAGCCATAAAATTTTTTAGAGGTAAGTGAATTTTGTCTACTTTTTGTATGTTATTAGTCTATATTCTTTGATGCATTATTTAATTAACCCTTTCGATACGGGTCACAGGTGAAAGGCCATATCATCTTGTTTGTTGACTCACATTCAAAATTTTATTGAACTACTATTTCATGAATTTATATCAATAAGTTTGGTATCAAACTGTAGATCATAATCCAAATTTTATTACTATATATTACTCAATTTGTTAATTTAAAAGTGAATATTAAAAAACAGATAAACATTGATGTTTGTGTGTCACGTGGTATGTTGAATGCAGTACCGGTTCAAATTAGATGTTTGTGAAGTGAAATATAAAATATAGAATGTAAAATTTCTATTTGCTAATATATTGCTCACTTAATAAATCAAATATAGTGGCACCCCACTCACCTTCTTTCATTTTTGGAAACGCTCCCTTATAAACAGTTACTTTTATATATGACATGAATAACCAATCAGAAGCTCAGAATGTCACCTAGTGGTTTTCTAAGTCTTTCTAACTTACCTAGAATCATTTCTATCTTTTAAATCAAGATTTCAATGAGGTAGGTTGTGTCTTTAGTCTGCTCTTTATTTATTGTTATAAAAGTAACTAAAATCTAAAAATACCGATCTTATTAAGTTATTTAAGACTAGATTAGGTAAAATAAGTAATAATAATAATAATATAATTAAAATGGTTCATGAGGCACATGTGCTAGTAGCTTGTGGATAATGTAATTTGATAGCGTAATGTGAGCTGCATGTTCTCCGAGTGATTTACATCTTATAATGGCATGGATAGTAGTTAGACACAGTTCAAAGGGCAATAAAACAATGAAATTTCATTATAAGTAGATGTATACTGTTACAAACTTAAAGCTACTTAGGATAAATGAATGTAGTTTCATGTTGCAATTTGAAGTCATTCTAGAAAGAAAAAAGGGTAATTTAGGTCTATTTATTTATTTATTTTTTGGTGGTTAGGGGCTCAATTGAATTGACCAATCCTGTATAGAGAGTTAGGGTAGAGCAAATAACAAAATATAAAATTTAACTGTAAACAAGCATTTGAAATGTATTTAGACAAGACCCAAATCTCTAGTGTTTCAAATAGTTCACTATTCTTCTTCAGGAGAATAAATGGTTATGTTTAAATAGTTAATGAAATATAGACACAGATGTCAACATCACGTAAACCAGATGTTCAGTATGAGTTAGCCTTGAGAACTAGCCAATCATAACCTAGAGTTGTTGGTGTCAGGTTTAGTTTATGCTAGAGGTGGGTACAGTACATAAAAGACCTAAGTGTGATAATAGTTATAAGAATTGTTAACCAATTTTTATAAAGATAAAATAAATAAAAACATGATGGTAAAAGGTGGTGGGAAATAGAGAAGTGATACAATATATATAGGAAATAATACCAATATAGGGAAATTAAAGAATGAATAATACTATTAATGTAAAGTAAGTTTAATTATGAATTTAGTTTTGAAAATTTCTTCACAGACACACGAAGGTCAACAATCCTGGATCGAGATTGATTCTGTTTGACGTTACAGTATTTAATAGTGCTATCCAGTACGCTTCTTTGATTTCCCTGTTTTATTGTTGATTTATGGTTATTAAAACGTTCCCATATAGTTGTTTTGGTTTGACCTACATATTGAAATAATTTAATAATGAGTTCTGTATTCAAACAAAAGGCACAACTATGGGCACCAAACTATACCAACATATTTATGGGAGACTTAGAGATGAGACTGTTGGAAAGTTGCACAGACAAACCAATGTTTCGAAGATGTTACATCAGTGACATTTTTTTTATTTAGGTTGGAGACAAAGATTCATTACCATCCTTTTATAGACATGCTAACACCTTCCACAGTTCTATTAGATTTACTCTAGATCACTCCACTACCCAAACAAGTTTCTTAGATGTAAACCTAATATTAAAAGATGGTGTTCTACATACTGATTTATACTAAAAACCAACGTATAAACCACAATAGTTACATAATCAAAGCTGTCACCAAACACAATATCATGATCAAAGAAGATATGCTCTAACTATGACAGTCACATTAATTCTTTGAAACAGACTGTAACTGAAAGAGGTTATAAACATAACACTATTACCCAACAACTTAACAAAGCTAACAAAATACCACATGAATCTGCCTTGAAACAAAACCTAAACCAAATTCTTCTTGTGTTCCACTGGTTATTACTTATCACCAAAAATTAAAAACCTACCCTTGATACTAAAAAAAACACTTTTACCTATTTCAAGTTAATTATGGACTAAAATCCATTTTTACAGAAGTTCCTGTCAGTTCTTTTAGAAAAAATAAAACTTTACATTCACACTTAGTTCGTGCAAATATCAACTTTAAGTTGACACCAGGTGGAAGTCATCCTTGCAACAGCGTGTGATGCCAAATTTGTAAGTTCATGCAGGAAACTGACAAATTTTCTGATAAAGACAACCAAAAGCAGTTCAAAATCACTAAACTCATAACCTGCTCTACAAAAACATTATTTACTTAATCCAATGCTGAAAATACAATTTCCAATATGTAGGTCCAACCAAAACAACTATACGGGAACGTTTTAATAACCACAAATCAACAATCAAAACAAACAAAGAACTTTTGGTCTCAAAACACTTTAACATGCCTGGTCAATCTCTTGAAGACATTAAACTGATGGGTATAGAGACAAATTTTACATCTAACAGAAACAGGGAAATTAAAGAAGCTTACTGGATAACACTATTAAATACTGTAATATCAAATGGAATCAATATCAATCCTGGGATTGTTGACCTTTGTATGTCTGTGAAAAGATTTTCAAAACTAAATTCATAATTAAACTTACTTTACATTAATAGTATTATTCATTCTTTAATTTCTCTATATTGATATTATTTCTTATATATATTGTATCACTTCTCTATTTCCAACCAACTTTTACCATTATTTTATTTTCATTTCATCTTTATGAAAATTGGTTAATAATTCTTATAACTATTATCACACTTAAGTCTTTTATGTACTGTACCCATTTCTTTAGCACAAACTAAACCTGACATCAACAACTCTAGGTTATGATTGGCTAGTTCTCAAGGCTAACTCATACTGAACATCTGGTTTACATGATGTTGACATCCGTGCCTATATATTTCATTACACTCATTAAACATAACCCTTTATTGTCTTGAAGGAGAATAGTGAACTATTCGAAAACACTTGAGCTTTGGGTCTCTTTTGAAAACCGTTACAACTATTGTGTGTGATCCTGTGTGCTAACTTATTAAGCAGAATTAATTTAGTAAATTCATAGACATATCTTTAGTAAAAATACTTGATTAAAAATCCTGGTTTTTTATGTACAACATACTTGTAATGTTTACTATAAGCCTACCAAATTTCATGAAGATACACTTTGTAAACTTGGAATTTAAGTAAACAATAGATAATAGAAACTGGCTAGATATGAATTATTTGTTTTTTACATTTTGCAGGTTTAGTATAATACTGATAGTTTTCACATTCAAAAGTTAAAATAGCCCTATTAGTTACATTGGAAAGATGTTGAAATGAAAGCCAATAAAAAAAAGTATGGGGGGGGGGGAAGAATTCCATTTTGGGATGCCACACTTGTATCAAAGATATTAAAACTTTACTACCTGAATAATACCCATAAAGTTGAAAATAACAAATGACATCCTGATATCTAACTCTTACCAATTGTGGGTGTTGTTGAAATTTGAGTCTGATAATACTGGTGATGGGCCATGCATTAAATTGTTCAAAATAAGTGAAAATCGTGCATTTTGTATACCGTATTTGACGGCATATAGGACGCACTTATTTCCCGAACTTTTGGCTCAAAAAATCGCCCTGCGTCTAATATGCAAAGTTGAGATCTTCCGCAGGCTAATCTTCTTCCTAACGCTCACTATCCTAGCATACGATCAGTACATCATTCCAACTATGAAATAAGAAATAGGAAATTTACATAGGCCAGACGCAGTCGAATTTTCAGCATCCTGTTAAAGGATGGAAGGTCTATCTCTTAAAAGTGCCAGATTCAGGAGAAAAAGTTCTTAGTGTATTTAAGCATTTATTGGTGAAAGTAATCTAACAGCACATTACACGGAGCACGCGGTAGCATTCCCTATTGTTTGCTTGTAATTTGCCTCTATCTCTATCTTCGCTTACTGATTGGCCGTGCATTTTTCGAGTTGTTGACACAAGTTGGTCGATATATCAAGTTTCACAGTAAAGATAAAAAGACATGACGAAACCTTGTCTCTGAAGGGACAAGCGTTTACCTGCTGAAAAGGGGGTGCGTCTTATATACCCATGCGTCTTATATGCCATCAAATACGGTACTTTACTTTACAGATTTCAGTACTGCTCATTGTGGAAAGTGTTTGCAGAAGTTAAATCATCCTTAGGTTCTTATTTTTGTAGGCTGGTATTCCAGTTCCATGTGAGTTAGGGCTAGCACCTCTGTTTTGTGTATAATCTTGTACTGATGGAGGAATTGTGCTCCAAAACACTTTATTTCTTGTTATAACCAATTATCCAAAATGATGAAACATAGATAATGACCATTGAAGAAAATCTTTGTAAATATAAATGTGGTGTTTATGACAAATGAAACAAAAGTATGAACACAACTCTAGATCGTAATGTCTTTTGAATCACAAGAAACATATATAGTATGTCAGCTGAAAGCAATTTCAATGATTAGAGTTTGATATTGAAGAATATTAAAAGTTTTTTGTTGTTTATTGTGCTTAACTTAGGAAATTACATATTTTTTATTCAGTTTTTTGTTTTGACTTAATAGGTTAATATAACCTTAAAAAAACCAGGAATGAAACTTGAACACCAAGGGATCAAAATTGAATTCATTGGGCAAATTGGTAAGTAAACACCATTTATTATGGGTTTTTTTTTTCACAAAAAATTTTTTAAATATCAGTGTCCTTAGTGTTGATAGGAATGATTGAAGATTTAAGTTGTTCAAGAGTATTTGAGCACTAACACTTGTAACATTATTTTACTATGAGTTGCATTCTGGATTGTCCAGTCAAAAAGCTAACTTCCAAAAACTGCAGAGTATTTGAGAAATAAAGATGAGACTATTAAGGGACATTTTATTTTTTGCCATTTGATAATCCTGGCATGATTATGAATAATTGGGCCATTTACAATCAACTGTTGAAATTGTTTTAAAAAAATGACCACAACTACACAGTTTATGGAAAGCCCACACTATGATAACACTGGGAAATAATAAAAAATTCTCTGATACTAGAAAAAATGCAACTGTTTCTATGAAATTTGACGATGCTGATTTTAAAAATCATGTTGAAAATTATTAATCACCTCTAGATTTTGAATTATGACAAAATTTTTCAAAATATTGTGAAAATAATTTTTTCTTTAATAACTATTTATTCATTGAAAATTATTTTTAAGAATGTATAATCTGCATACTTTGGTAAGTTTCTTCCATGTTCACAGCATGAGTAACAGAAATCAATGGCTTCATGTTCCCTTTGTGCAAAATTACAGCTTTCAGAATAACTTCAGATGAGTCAATAAAAAGTCTCCATTCTTGAGGATGATGTTTAATACCTAATTCTTCCATTAATGTATCAACATTTTTATACAAACACAAAGTATCTTGCATGCTGTAGTGAGAAGCAAGACTTTGATGGTGACTTTGGTAGATTGAAACTCTTGTTCCTGGAGCTAATAAATTCCATTACTGTAAACAAGAGCCAAGAAGTTCCCCATGCTGCTTTGATAGAGACAAGTCATGAATCAGATCATTTAGCTCTTTTTTTGTGTGATCAGATGAGGCAATTTATGTTGAGATATACAGAATTAATAGATAAATTGTCTTCATCTCAAGATAACTTCTGTTTCCCAATTTATTGGTGGATGTGGCACTGTAAGACCATCCCCATGAGGCACTGGTTTCATTGCAGGTGCAATTCCTGGATATTGAATGTATTGTTTAGTTTTATCTGAATATCCAGAAACATTAGTCATGCAAAAATAGTAGTCAGTTAAATTACTTTGGGGCTCATGTCATATCATAGGAACTGCAAATGACATACTTGCTCTCTTATTCAACCACTGTGTCAATCCAGTTGTGCATACTGTACAACACATACATGTAGCCAAATGTTTTTCTTGGTCACCAATTTTACACCCAAAGTAGTGGTATTAAGCTACCTTTACTTTGTGTGTGATGTTTTTCTTTCATGAAACTGTTACATTTTCAACAAATGTAGTAGAAACTGTTTGTTTTGGACTTTACTTGAACTGGAGGCAGCCAGCCTTTCAAATGATTTTCTAAAAAATATGAAATATAAAAGATTTTGGAAAATTTGATTATATTGCGGGTATGATGAGAGGAAGGAGATTGAACTTTGTTTTGACTGTGCAAAGAGTGAAGCAAAGTGACCGGGTGAGTGAGAGACAATTGAGAGAAAGTTGTCTGAATCTGCCCCATCTTATGCTCAGTTGACAGACTTCTCAAATGTTCTAGCAAATTGTGCAAATGAAGGTTTCGTGATTCCCCGGTAGAGCAGGTGAGCGTGGGAATGAAACGAAAGTGGTGCAATTCCCTACAATTATATCTAGAACAAATAACGTATATGAACAATACAATACAGTCAGTTTTTGAAGTTATTAAAAATGTATGTTTTCTGCCCATAAAACTGTCAAAGTAAACTTATTTTTGTTGCATAATTCTATTGTACTGAGTTCATTGCATGGTATTTCACATAGTGCTGATAAAATATTGAGATATTATAGTAACTCAAACTCTAGAGGTGACGGACAAGTTGTGACTACATCTTTGAAATAAGCGACATCAAATCACCTGAATCACTTGAATTTTCTCCAGTAACAAATTTTTCATTGTCTAGTGTTAATTGATCAATAAGCCTTTTCTGGTAACTTGTGTATCATTCTTATTCATCTTTTAGTGGGATTTCCCAAGTTTAAAATAACAGCATATTTAAGTGGGGTTTCAGTTTTTTATTTCATATTAGGAAATGTAATTATTATCAAAAACATGTATAAATTTTTTTACCATATATTAAAAAATATGAAATCAAAATGCAACATTTTTTGAAAATTTATTCAATTATATCTGCTAAGTACATGCAACTTGAGCATTTTTTCCTCTGCATGGCTAACACTTTTCTGAGTAATTTTTAAAGTAAGTTCCATGCTGTTTTATATAGCTAGTATTGACGAGTGGATATCTCCACTTATGATAACTAGGTGACATACTCATTCAACATACGGGGAAGTCATAGACACTCACAGTGGTTGATGTAAGGGGTCAGATCTGAATGTTGATCCTTTATGTCACTCCCAGATGGGCCCCTAAGGGTATATGCCAAGTTTGGTCACAATCAATCTAGTAATTCACCAGTTGTAAATGGCCTCACAGACCTTTGTAAAATAATTGTTTTGATAAAAGCAAAGGAACAAATTGTTGTGTGAAATGGACTAGGTGACCTGCTAATTGGTAAGGTAAATTGATAATTTATACAGATACTTGTATTGTTTCAAGTGGTGAATAATTTATACAGATACCTGTGATTGTTTCAAGTGGTGAATAATTAGTACAGATACTTGTGATTGTTTCAAGTGGTGAATAATTTATACAGATACTTGTGATTGTTTCAAGTGGTGAATAATTTATACAGATACTTGTGATTGTTTC